TGTACTCAGGGTTGCGAAAATATAAACAATCGCCTCCAAATATTCACAGCGATGCTCAATCCTACAGAGTCATACTGTGGTGCCTGTTTACACTGATTACTTCATGTTTTTGTCAAATTGGATATCCCCACATGGAAAGAACCTATATGAGAATATATGCAGTATGCACATACTGTATATAATAATATATATGCTGCATATATGCCACATTTAAAATTAAGGTGCATATATGTGCATATACAGACCATATAGGCCTGCTGTATTGCTTCTTTAAATCCACATTTAAGTATATGTAAAAAAGATTTGTCTTCTATATACAGTTGAAGTCAGAATTATTAGCCCCCCTGAATTATTAGTATAATATAATAATAATACAATTACATAATAATATAATTATTATTATATGTTTATTTTTTGCCCAATTTCTGTTTAACAGAGAGCAGGTTTCGTCAACACATTTCTAATCATAGTAGTGTTAATAACTCATCTCTAATAACTGATTTATTTTCTCTTTGTCATGATGACAGTAAATAATATTAGACTAGATATTCTTCAAGACACTTCTATACAGCTTAAAGTCACATTTAAAGGCTTAACTGGGTTTATTAGGGTGACTAGGCAGGTTAGGGTAATTAGGCAAATTATTGTATAGCGATGGTTTGTTCTGTAGAAAGTTGAACAAAAAAATTAGCTTGAAGGGGCTGATCATTTTGTCCTTAAAATTGTGTTAATAAAATTAATAACTGCTTTTATTCTAGCCAAAATAAAACAAATAAGACTTTCTCCAGAAGAACAAATATTATCAGACACACTGTGAACATTTCCTCAATCTGTTCAACATCATCTGGGAAATATTTAAAAAAGAAGAGAGAAAATAAAAATCAAAGGGGGGCGAATAATTCTGACTGTAACTGTGGTTCATATCTCACTTTAGATGATGCCTAGCTCATATTTTCTATTATCAAGGCAATAACTAAGAACTAATGTGTGAATACATGAAACTGGCATCACATGTAATTGGCATGTTACGGAATATAAGTGAGAGGAAATGGAGAGCTAAGATGTCAACATGTTTTTTCTGAAACATTTACAAGGTCAATTCTTTCTTGTATGAAGATGAAAGTGGAAAATAAGGAAATGTCCTGTAGAACAAAATGGTTTGTTGTTGTTTTTTTCTGTTCAGTTATTTTTGTTCTTGTACTACAGATTTTTTGTACTATTTGATTGTTCTTAAGTAAATAAAATATGTAAACGTCTACATGTAATATAGAACATGGCCAATTTTATATACTGTATGTCAAATACTCTAAAAGCTATATTAAAACATATATGTTCATATAGGTTCTTTCCATGTGGGTCTGTCTGATTTCAGAAAATAAATCCATTTACACTTGAGCACATGACTGTGTCTCTGCTAAACAGATATGATTCTGATCTTCAAATGCCACACTATATGTGATGCTTTATAAACAAATTTCGGGAGGAGCATGATCAGTCTATAAATAGTCAAACACGTCATACCTCCATTATTTCCTGACTTTAGCATCCCTCCACCACCCCAACTCCACACTATTAAACCCGATACCTACTTAAATCTGAGCGGGGAGTATTCTGGGGCCAGGCTAGACAGTGCACCAGGGCTGTGCACAGGGGGTTGGCCTGGTGGCTAGAGCCACTGCCCCTCTGCCCTCATTGGCTGAGGTGCCCCTCTCAGCAGGCGTGTATCTATTTTTGTTTAAAAACATCTATTTTTGTTGAACAGATGCAGGACATCATTCAAAACTGTATAGAGTTTACATTAATTACTGTATAATATCACACTCTCTCAAAAACAAAGCAACATGCCTTTGCAAACTACTGAAACACAGAATTTTTCTATTATTATTTTCTCCTTTCACAGATCATTTCTACAGTGCTGTGTGTCTCTGTTGTTAATTCAGCCATCTTCTATTAATTTAACATTTTACTTTCATCATTTCACAATCAAAAATATCATGTAAATAAAACCTCTGCATGTGGGCTTCAGTTGCTCAAACACTTGTATATCTGACGGTCTGTTTGTTTTCTTTAACTTTGGGAGGAGTACAAATTACACACAGTATAGGCTTTAAACAAGCAGATGCATTTAGCAGTGTGCAGTTTTATCTATAATGTGTCCTCCTGAAGGAACACCTCCTGTATCTCCATTTCCAATGCATTTCAGAGGGCATTTACACCTGTGCTTTTCACCATAAGATAGAAATCCCTTCAGAAATAAATTGCATGACTTGAGCAGGTGTAAACAACCCCACAGTTTCAACCCATAATAACAGCCAGACACTGCAGAGTTGAGATGAACGACTCAACAAAACAAAACAAAAGCACTCCCTGTCTTTACTCCAGCTCTTAATTATCTGAGCACCAACAGTTTGTTTGTATAATTAGCACTTGTCACCTCTTCTTGTTAAATCACTGAATACCTCCTCAGTTGTAAGTCGCACTGCACAAAAGCCGCTGCCGCTATATGACTAAATGTACAAGGTTTCTAAGAACACCTTGGCTTTAGGGTGAACTCTCTCCTAACAGCTCTTAAAACAAAACACAGTGCAGGTTTGAGGCGTAAAACAATCTGCACAGGGTTACACAATGCGTTCAGTGAGTGGCTTCGTCTCGGGTTGCAGAAACTGGCTGGAGGAGAAGAGCAGTGACATAACAGCAAAACAACACTCGCATTGAGTCCATGCCCTCATTCTCACCACCGTACACTTCAGCACGCTCAGAAAGTCCATCTATTTCTGGAATTCAGAAAGTGAGAGGAGGAGAAGCTGCAGAGGGATAGCTATTTTCTCCAGGATGTTTTAAAGTAATATATTTGTGGATATAGATTAGATTAGTCAATAACGTAGAAAAAACTGATGAACTAATCTGACAATATAAACTGTAAGATTTTTTTTTGTAAATAGACAACACTCAATATTATAACTAAACTTATTTCAATAATAGATGATGCATGGTGTCACGTTATAGCAAAAATGCTCGATTCCACCTGTAGTTCCTGGACAGGTTGAGGTTTGTAAAGTTATTATTCATATGTGTAAATGAAATATTTAAATAGACGAGGTCAATAATATCACACAACTTTATATATGCACATACACATGTCAGATCATGCATGGCAGATCATTAGTACACCAAAATTAATATATTGAGGCAAAATACTAAATAAATTGTTAATAAAAAGCTGGTGCACTGACCACTGTCCACTGTCTTTAAAGTCCACATGAACCGGCAGTAACTGAGACTCTTATTTACATATGCTGATGTGCTTCCAGCTGAAACTGAATACTGAGTAGGGGGCGGGGCTTTATTTTTGTGCATCACTCCCTCTTCCCGTTATTTGCTATGAGGGAATGTAATTTGATGATGCACAATAAGAAAGCTCCACCCCCATACTCAATATTCCATTTTAGTTGGAAGTAAATCAACATAGTGAAATGGAATATTAAATAGGGGGCGGGGCTTTCATTTTGCACATCATTCCCTTTGACCGTTGGTTTGCTATAAGGGAATGATGCAAAAAAGTCCCGCCTTCTACGCATAATTCCATTTCAGTTGGAATATTGAGTAGTGGGTGGGGCTTTCTTTCTGCACATAATTTCTCAAAGTGAACTAACAGCAAGAGGGGCGTGGCTAAACATATCGTCAAACTGACCTCATCAGAGAATGCAGAAGTCGATGTCCAGACTTTGATTGAAAGTCTGGACATCAATGTATGCTAGCAAACTACAATGTATGCTAATGTGCGATATGTAAAGCAGCACTTCCATATGCATCAGGGAAGGCTCTGAGACCTATTTCCTTATGTTGATGCACATCCAATAGAAATGTAATATTAAGTAGGGGGTGGGGATGATTACTCCCTCTTACTGTTGGTTTACTATGAAAGAATGATGCATAAGAAAGCTCCGCCCCCTACTCAATATTCCAACTGAAATAGTATATTGACTAAGGGGGCGGGCACCATGCCCTCATAGCAAACTAATGTGCACGATAAGAAAGCCCCACCCCCAACTCAATATTCCATTTCAGTATGTTGATTCACTTCCAACTGAAGCGAAAAATTAATTATGGAGGTGAAGCTTTCTTACTGTGCATCATCAATTTACATTCCCTCATAGCAAAATAATGTAAGAGGGAATAATGCACAAAAAAGCCCCGCCCCCTACTCAATATTCAGATTCAGCTGAAAATACATCAACATATTAAAATAAAAGTCTCAGTGACCTCCGGTTCATGTGGACATTAAACACAGCGGTCAGTGCATCAGCACTTTATTCAAATTGTATTTAGTATATGGAATGGAATATTAAGTAGGGGGCGGGGCTTTGATTTTACACATCATCCTCTGGTACTATTAGTTTACTATAAGGGAGTGATACACAGACTTTGATTGAAGATTATCATCTTCAATGTATTAACTTGCACAGATTAATCATTTAAATAACAACATGCACTATTAAATATTAACATTTTAATCTTTGATTTGCATTAACATATCAACAATGCTAATGTAAGTCAAAAAGCAGCACTTTCATATGCATCATGGAAGGCTCCGATACTTTTATTTCAATATGTTAAAATAGCTCCAACTAAAACAGAATATTAAGTAGGGGGCGGGGCTTTCTCTTTGTGCATCTCTCTCTCTCTTACCGTTAGTTTACTATGATGAAGTTATGCACAAACAAGCCCCGCCCCCTACCCAGCATTCCATTTTAGTTGGAAGGACATCAAAATACTGGAATGGAATATTGAGTAGGGGGCGGGGCTTTGATTTGCACATCATCCCTCATAGAAGCAGATGCTCAGATTGAACATTACCAAAACACACATTTATTTTTCAGCACATTAACTTGCACGAATTAATCGTTCACCTACAGAATAACAATGCAAGCTCGCAAAATAAACATGATTTCACACAGACTCCATCATAAATGTATGTAAAGTAAAACAGCAGCACTTACATAGGCATCAGGGAAGGCTCTGTATTTGAGCAGTAAGTTCCTCTCTGGCTCCGGCTCCGGCTTCTGGTTGACTTGTAAGTTGTCGTTAATTAAAAACCCTCCGTCGAGACTGCTGCTGCGCTGGATACTCAGAGACGGAGGACTCTTGAGGAGCGTTTCAGACGGCAGAGAGCGATACAGCTCAGATGTGGACTTATGACTGAAGCTTTGGCTCTCCGCCGACTGGCTCTGTGCAAACGGAGCAACACTGATTCTAGAAGCTTCAGCAATCCCGCTCAGAGAGTTCGATGGAGACGTGAGATACGAGAAGCGTTCAAATCGAGATCCAACCAGAGAATCGGTGCTCTTAGCAGCGGAGCTGATCCGATCTGCACCAGAACCGATGTCAGGGAGAGATGCTGCACGGAAAATGGAGCGACTCGAAGCACCGTTCTCTGATGGCTGAAAAAAGAAGCTGTTTTCTAGCCGTGAGGAGGAGCTAGCGCCGTTTATTAGCGGTTTAGCAGAGCCGTCTTCAGGACTGAGATCATTCAGTGAACTCCTGCGCATTACAATACTACTCAGAGCCGAAGCACGAAGGGGAAGAGAAAGCCCACGATTCTGTGCATCTCCGAACTGTTGCTCCTTCATCATAGTCAATGGAGAGCGCATATCCTTAGTAGAGCTCCAATTAAAGCCAAAATCAAGCCCAGAGCTTCCGTTTAGCATGGATTTGGGCTCATGAACAGGTGAGAATGGAGGAGATAAAGGAGTGATAGAGGGGGAAACAGGAGCATCTTCTTCTATAGGCGGCAGGGAAGAGAATGGAGCGTTAGATGGCGCGCGCTGAACTCTCTGGCGTAGCGGTCGATCCATACTCTTCAGAGTATCCACTAGATTATCCATTTCTGAGTTGAGCAATGGAGGTTCAGTAGAGGTTGGTGAATGATGCAGCTCTACCCTCATCGCCTGGAAAACTTCAGAATCATCAGCCTCCACGATGAACAGAGCAGGCTCTGGATCTAACTGAGAGTGTGTTGGTATGATCTGCAGTCGTTCTCCAGGTAAACTAAGCTCCTCCCGGCCCCTCCCGCCACTGTAATGTGTAACTTCAGTCTCCGGAGAGTGGAAATGAGAGGTGTAGACTGCTTTTTCATAGCTGTGGGTGTAATCTGAACGCTCGGTTTTGTCCTGGAGGGCTTGGAAGCGTCTCTGCAGCTCAGGACTGGCTCTGCTGGGCTCTGGAAGCTCATTTTTAACCAGAGAAACTTTCCGGAAAACCACACCATCGTCTCTGCCGTCTCGAGGTGACGACGGTGGATTAAGTTTCGTGTTTAACACCGAGACTCCAGAGTTCATGACTGTATTCAATACTTGATTATGCTCAATCACTGTACTGGGAACAGTTGCATGAACGATCCTAAGAGAGAAAACAAAATGATTATATTTAATTATAGCAGTCATGCATGCAGGGAAACAGACATTAAAATGCAAAGAGTCTCAGTCATACTTAAGGACAAATTAAGCCACATTTTACACATTTAAAGTTAGATGATGTGTTTAAAAACATGAACAATACTTGTACACACTACAATAAAGGCTTTTCCTAGATTTGTTGTTTTGTTTCTAATCCAAATATTAAATGGTTCTTAAGAAGCCTTTTCTAGACAAGTGAACATACAAGAAGATATAGGATTATTCTGCTTTCACTATTGGCAGATTATTTAGCTTACTTTAAGGTAAAACTCACTTCATTTTGATTTATTACTTCTTAAAACAAAAATATATTTTTATATTTATTAATGGCAGTGATAAAAGCAATACTTCAAGACAATTAAGTCGCACTATAATAACATGAACAATACTTGTACAGCATTTATTAATTAATCATCGTTTATCATTTACTAATGCATTATTAAAAATGCACTGAGCTAACATGAACTGACAATAAATTATTTATGCTAATGTCAACAAACATTAATAAATACTGCAGTAAATGTACAGTGTAGTGCATTGGTCATGTTAGTGCACTTAAAAAATTGATTTTTTTTAGGCTGTGCCTTGTTTTTAGTCCAATTATCAACAAACTCTGAAATCAAGAAGAATTTTCTAGAAAATAGAGTCTTGTTTTCATAAATAATGAGTCAAAATTAAGCGAGTTTTAACTTAAAACAAGCTAAATAATCTGCCAAAGGGGCAGTTTGAGTTTTCTTATTTTGTTGAACATTAATGAAGTTATTTTGAAGAATGCTGAAAACCTGTAACCATTAACTGTCATAGTAACAAATGCTGTGGAAGTAAATGGTTGCAAGTTTCCAACATTTTTCAAAACATCTCCTTTTTTTTGTCAACAGAATAAAGAAATTCAAACCGGTTTGTGAAACGTGAAGGGAGAGTAAATAATGACACATTTTGGGGTGTACTGTCTCTTTAAGAACTTGAACAGAATGAATTACAGTCATCTAATATGGAATTTGAGGCCTGTTTGGTTTGTGAATATGAAAGGTGTAAATGGGAGTGTACTGAAACATGCGTAGGTGAGTTTCTGCAGTCTTTAAAGGGCACTTAAAATGAATCACTGTCTTAAAAGCTTTAATTTCTCCCTACAATAATTAAAAGAAGAGTGTGTAACTTGATGAAAGAGTAGAGATAGGACAGACTGAAGGTGTGTACAGCACTAACGACAATATACATGCAAAAATAACACTCAATAAAACACTACACTGTAAAATAATATTAATAATGCTGCCTAAAAATTTACATCAACTAAATTGACTATAGTAGGCATGGGCCGATATAAGATTCTGACGGTGTGATAACCTTGGATAAAACTATCACTGTTTCACGGTGTTGTAATCACGAAGCTTTTTAAATGTCTGAGTAAAAAACAACAACAAAAAAATCACTTAGGATAAAAGCATCTGCTAAATGACTAAATGTAAATGTAAAACAAAAATCTTACACATACCCACGTTAAAAAATTACATGATCCATTACTCCTGACAGCATATGTTTTTGGGTCATTGTAACTTATTCTACTAAGTTGTTCGTCTTTTAATTTAATTTATAGGTTACACAAGCTGTTTTAAGTCAGTTTAACATAAGTTCAATGGTCTCAGAAGGTTATTTGATTCAGCTTAAAAATTTAATTCAACCAGGATTTATTTAGAGTGTAGGAACGGTATAGCAGAACATTCTGGCGGTTTTAAAACCTGGACTTTCCAAACCGAGGTGTACCTTGAAAATGGTTATCGTCCCATGTCTAGACAAAAAATGCTTTTCTTACATAGTTTTCGTCTTGTTTCTATAGTCTACTGTAAATATCTAAAAACTCTGAAAACACGAAGCATTTTCTAAACAAGATTAATAACAAGATTAAAAACTAATTTCTTGTTTTCAGAAATGAGTTAAAATTAGCTTTATAATTAAAACGAGCAAATTAATCTGACAATGGGGAAAAAAAACGATATTTCAAAGCAAAAACTAGATTATTTTGCTCGTTTTCAAGAAAATAATCACTTTATTCTGACAAACACAAGAACACAATATTTTTACTTGTCTAGAAAATGCTTCTTGATTTAAAAATTAATAGATATTTGGACTAGAAAAATAAAACATTAATACATAAATGTAGTTGAAGTCTGATTATTAAAATAAGTTAAATAACTTTTTTTGTCATTTTCTCCTTTTTTTTTTTTACTGTGTAAAGGTACAATTTTGCCTTATGGATATAGAAAATGATGCATATTTCATTATGCAAGAATGCAAAAACTTAATTTAGACTTTAATGCCAACAACGCTCTCAGTGTTGGTTATAACAAGTGTTGGTTTGGTTAGTTAATTATTATCCAAGCAGGAAAAGCCCTAGTTTGACATAAACACACATTCCACACACAAACGACACTAAACTAAACCACACAGATGCACTCATCTGAACACAACGCCATTAGTAGCTTTTATTTGCTCTTACTTTCAAACAAGTAGACATTCACTGTAAAGAGGCAAGTATTCTTTCAGTATTTTGTGATTTACAGGTGTTTTCCATACAGGTGTTTTCCAAAATAAATTGTATTCTGGACTTTGATCACTTTAAATGCTGAAAATTCATCTGTGCAGTCAGTATAACAGAGTGCTTTTTATTATTAAGATTTTATAGTCTGAAACAATATTTTGTATATGCACATTAAGTCAAGGACTGGCAGTTTATGTCCAGATCTTTTGCACCATAATTTAAAACCCCAAACCCAGACAATAAATCAATTCAGATGATTAAAAATGTCAATAAAAGTCACCTTTTCCAAACTTGTTTAACAGCAAAAGTTGTTAGAGAAAAGATTAAAGTTCTGTAATGCAAGTCAGAACATAAATACACAGAGAAAACATGGATCAAAAATACCGAAAACTCCTAATCTACACATTTTTATACAGTTTAAAGGAGCAGTTCACTCAAAAATGTAAATTCTGTCATTTCCTCATCTCCCAAAGCTGCTAGAGTTTCATCTTTCTGTTGAACACAAAACAAGATATCCTGAAGAAGGCTGGGAAAAAAGACATTTACTTCCATTGTATTTTTTTTTCCTACAACTGTCAATGACAGATTTCCCAGCATTTTTCTGAATATTTAGTTTTGTGTTCAACAGAAGAAACTCTAAAATGTTTGATCTAAGTAAACGATGCATTTTGGGTGCACTGTCCCTTTAAGTGATTCTGAAGAAACTGCAAGTAAAAAACAGAAGTGTTTTGGTAGCAGGTTACAGAAAAGCCAAGATAAAGGGTCACTTCATATCATCTTACTATTGATATCTGAAAAAGTCATGTCATGTAGATTATTTTCTCTACCTTTAGCCTGGAGACATTTAAAGGGAGAGGTTTCAGGTTATATGAGCTTTCTGATTGACTGCATTTACAGTAAATAACACCACCTGCTGGTAAAACACTGCTGAAATTAAAGGTGTTAAAGAGACAGCTCGCTCAAAAACTAACCTGTGTGCTGTTCAAATTGACTGGTGAAAGAGTAAAATTTTAAAGGCATTTTGAGGATTGTTGTGGTTCTGATATTGGCTGAAGGACAAACCCTGCTCTTCTTAAAGAGACAGTACACCCCAAAATAAACATTTACTCACTGTTCACTCTCTCTCTCAAAAGCTTCCAGCTCCTTATGAGCGTCACGGATTTAGGGAAATGCTTTGAAAACAATACACTCATGGACAAATTGACTCCTCTTTGGTGATGTTGGTGCTGTTTTCCCCCACTGACTTCCATTATAATCACAGTAATTGATTGTAAAGCCTTGACATCATCATGCATTCTAGATTCTGGTTTTCTGGAGGGACAATTTGTCATTTTTACTGTTGACCATCAGAACATCCAGCAACAATCAAGAATGCATGATGCTGTCATGGCATTGCAATCAATTCATGTGATTATAATGGTTGTCAATGGGGGAAAAACAGCACCAACATCACCAAAGAGGAGTCAATTTGTCCATGAGTGTATTGTATTCAAAGCATTTCCCTTTATCGGTGTCAAAATCAGATCTTACTTTTTGCATTTGACACTCATAAAGAGGCTGGAAGCACTTGAGAGAGAGTAAATGTTTATTTTGGGTGTACTGTCTCTTTAAGAAGAGCAGGGTTTGTCTTCTAGCCAAAATCAGAACCACAACAATCCTCAAAATGCCTTTAAAATACTCTGGAAATTTCCCTGAACTGATCATTATGTAGACCTGTGACGTGATTTTACTCTTTCAGTGGAACTACTGATGGCATTTCTGCTATTTTTACATATAAATCTACTGATTAGGCCTTAAAGTCCTAAAGCTATTTTGTGGGCACATGCCTGCATTCCTATTTTAGCAGTAAATGATTGCAGAGTTTTCATTATTTGACTGAACTGTGTTTTTAAGTGGGTGTTTTCAGCACACAGGACTGACTGAACAGATTAAACAACAGCGTTATTGCCTAAACACAAGCACTCTTTCAAGAAGCTCTGAATTATTCGAGTGTTTACAGCACCACACACACCTGTAGTTCTGCTGTAAAGCTGTATCTTCCTGCAACAGTAAACCATAATTGCTGAACAAGCATTGCTGAGCCTTTACACACACATTTACACACCTTTACACAAGCAGAAGCGCCTAGAGCTCTCAAAGACAAATCAAAACAAGCAAAACCAGTAAATTAGCATGTGCGTTTGCTATCAACATGATTAGTGTCATAGATTATACACAACAGCTCCCCCTTATGGCCAAATTCTATTTTAGCTCTGTCAGTGATTAGTTCGAGACAAAATTAATTTCAATGTAAATAATAAATGATCAATTAATATAATTTATTAACTGCACTCAATGGTATATAAGCACATTTAAATAAGAAATCACTTATTAATTAATTAATGAAAAATTTATAAATAAAAATATTAAGAACAGTTCTATGTAAGAATAATTTCTATTTACTGTATTTAATATTTACAATATCATGAGCACAAAGGCTTTAAAATGTATATTTTACATATCACATTTTATTACTGGCCATGCAAATATATGTGCAATATTTTTATAATATATTTATTATTTAAAAAAAAACAATGACTGAATGCTCTGTAATCACCTTAAATTAGTAATTAGGTTTAGCGAAGGGTGTTTGGTATTTGGCTCATAATAATACTGCAACTATGATGATTATTTCAGCTTTCCAAGAAAGGCTCAAGATTGTAAATAAGTCAGTCATTAATTACTCACACTCATTTATTCCACACACACCTCAAACAACACTCCACCACAGTTTCATTTCATTTCTGTACTTATATAGCACAAATAAACTACAGTAGTTGACCACCGTGCAATACATAAAGACAAAATAGTAAATTAAAAAAAAATAATAATAAAAATAATTCACTTAAAATAAATACTAAAAATGATCAAGTATTTTAAAGGAGTTTTTCTTGTTTATCACCACGTAACTAATTAAGAATCCTCTTGACACTAAAAGCTGCTGATGCGCACTTGCATATTTTGGTTTAAATGTTTTTGACCTCTTAAAAAAATCATTGTAAAAATAAACCATGAGCATTCTTACCACCTAGAACACACTAGCAACCTCCTAGAATTGCCTTAGCACACACACACTTAGCAACTGCCTAGTTACTACTCAGAACAACATAGCAACCACAAAGCACACCTGTTTCTGTGTGGAGTTTGCATGGTCTCCCTGTGATGGCGTTTGTTTCCTCCGGGTGCTCCGGTTTCCCCCACAGTCCAAACACATGCGCTATAGGGGAACTGATCAACTAAACTGGCTGTAGTGTATGAGTGTGTGTGTGTGTGTGTGTGTGTGTGTGTGTGTGTGTGAGAATGAGTGTCTATGGGTGTTTTCCAGTACTGGGTTGAAACTGGAATGGCATCCGCTGTGTAAAACATATGCTGGAATAGCTGGCGGTTCATTCTACTGTGGCGATCCCTGATGAAGGGAGTAAGCCGAAGGAAAATGAATGACACAGTGATCACAGACCCTCTATCTGTGCTTGTAGTGATGTTTTACAGCCTGCATAACATAATTTAAATGCCAAGTAAGATGTTTAGCTTACATTTCAGTAAATAATAATAATTAAATAAATAAAATCTGATGCTTAAGTCTACTTAACCTAGTTAAAATTTGCATATAGGAGCCATATCTGTTTAGTGGAGACGCATTTATCAAGTGTAAATGGAAACGTTTCACAAATTCAGCTGACAAAACACTTTTTAAACAGGCCCTGAAAGTTGCATGCTTACTCTTGAAGTATGGTTTCTTCTTACAGCTGACGGCACTGATATGGAGAGCTGGAGTTTAAAACGTGATAATAATAATAAGATAACGAGAGTCTTTAGACGTTTATCGTGACATCAGTCTGTCAGACGCATCGCTGCAAGCATTCGAGACTTCCAGACACTCGAGCTACAGCACAACCTGTAAACACACACTCATTTTAAACCATTTCACACTCCCTGAACATGAAATGCACACATGCATTTAAAATATCTGACATTCATGAATGTGACCGGCTTCATTACATCTGACAGAAAGCGCCATGCATGAAACCTTCAGCTCTTCCGGCCACAATCCATCACTGGGAAACCCATACACACACATTCACACACATACATACACTACAGACAATTTGGCTTAACCAGAATTCACCTGTAGCGCATGTGTTTGGACTGTGGGGGAAACCGGAGCACCCAAAGGAAACCCACACCAACACGGGGAGAACATGCAAACTCCACACAGAAACGCCAACTGACCCAGCCAACGCACGAACCAGCAGCCTTCTTGCTGTGAGGCAACAGCACTACCTACTGCACCCCTGCGTCGCCTTCTTTATTTAAATCAATCATTAAAAACTATTGCTGAGCAAAGATTGATCACGTTTAGGCAAAACAATTTGTTAAAAAGATTTTTTAATTTAAAAGACATAAGACATGATATAAAAAACAACACAAACACACACACATACACACACACACACACACACACACACACACACACACACACACACACACAAACACACACACACAAACACACACACACACTAAACAACAATGCTTGCCAGCTTAATTAATAGACACCAGCAGAGCAGAGAAATGCTGAAGTACAATATGCAAATCCCTCAATCTGCATTCCTGCCGGTGACGTTTGTTTGCTCAGTGGTGCTCTGATGCTGCTGTTTCGGCATCATTCATAAAGATAATGTGAAGAATGTGTATCAGCAAGTATGAGTCAAGAGCCACTCTAAGCCTGCTTTACATTCCTGCTTCAGCCCAGCCCAGCCCACAGCAGAGGGTGAGGCGCTGATAAAGCTCTTCATCACAACTCCGACCTCATTTACACAACAGTCTGAAGTGCATCTACACTCCAGTAACCCCACACAGACACACACACGCACAGTAGATTCTGAAAAAGAGTGTTCAAACACTGACAGAAACAGATGTGCTGGTGCTGTGAATGCTGATTGATAATTGCCTTCATCACGTTCTGTACATCTCATAAGAATCATTAACACTATTGACCAGGATCCTCTTCAAATGTATTGATGCACACTTTTTGTTTTTACATTTGACTTATTTTTTATATTTTCTAGCTCAAATACTTGCTTAAACAGTACTGCAGAATTTTAGATACAAAAAAAAAAAAAAAATCAGATTTTTACACATTTTATTCACACAGACACACACATGCATGCACTCACACACACACACACAAGCACAGTCACTGACACTGAGAAAATATTGCAGAAAACAAAACAAGTTTGTTCCTAATATTAAAATGTTGTCATTCTTTTAGACAACAAGATACCAGTGTACCAGTGGTTTCAAAACCCAAGAAAGGACATCCATATAACCCTGATTTTATTTTGATAAATAAACATTTTCTTGGAGGTAAAAACGACATGCGTAAATGTTTTTATTTGAAATTTGAAATATTTTTTATTCATTCTTAGAGTTTAATAAAATAAAACAAACTTAAAAATTAATAAATGGATAAAATAAGGAGTGTTTTTATGTTTAAAAGAAATGCATATCACACACACACACACACACACACACACACACACACACACACACACACACACACACACACACACACACACACACACACACACACACACACACACACACACACACACACACACACACACACGGCATATGGTATGAATAGGTATGTTTATATTAATTTTATATGTTTATATTAATATTAATTATATGTAAAAAAAAAAAAGAAAAGAAAAAAATGTATTTGTATGTTTGTTTATATTAATATTAATCAAAATAAACAGTAGGGTTGTAATACTATCCATATTAAATCCATATTAATAACTCTGGAAAATATGATTCTGACACTTAATAATTTTCTGGGAAAAGAACACCCTAAATAATCCCCCCTCCCCTTTCCAGACCACAATAAAATAAAACAAAATTAATTTTAATCAAATAATTAGATAGAAAAGGGTGTGTTTTATATTTAAGAGAAATGCATATAAAGTATTTAAATCACCCTGAAAAATAAACATTATTCTGACAACTTGTAATTTTCTGGTTAAAAAAATGCCCTGAATGAAATTGATTTTATGAAATTTGGAAGATTTTCCCCTCAGACCTCAATAGAATAAAACTAAATTAATTAAAGATCGATTATAAATAAATAATAAAAATAATAAAATCAAATATAATCAGTGCGCATTCCTTTTTCAGATCAAAACACTGCATTTTAACAACACAACACACGAGAAATTAAGAAATTTTTCAGAAAAGCAAAAACAGTGGCATGCTTATATTAACTTTAAAAGGGAAATTCATATAAATAATGCACGAAAAAATTTTCCTACAATTTACCATTTTCTGGTAAAAAATGCCCTGAATGGCAATGAAATTTGGAAGATTTTACCCCTCAGACCTCAATAGAATAAAACAAAATTAAATAAAAAATAGACAGAAAAAGGTGTGTTTGTTTTTATGTTTAACATAAAACCATTTAAAGTATTTAATATTTTAAAAAAGTATTTAATTTAGTATTATTTACATCACTTTTTCAGATCAAAACACTGCATTTCAACACAACACATGAGAAATTATTCAGAGATTGGTCAGAATAGCTAAAACAATGCCCTGTTTATATTCATTTCACACACTAGAATAATAAAATGGAAAGCCATACCCATACCAAAAACCCTGAAAAATAATTATTATTCTGCTAATTTATAACTTTCCTTTTAAAAATTCCCCTATTACATAGATTAAAGCAAGATATACAGTCTTACCTTTCACCTGGTGTTAAACAGTCAGAAGCTGTTTGATCAGCCAAATCATCAGTCTCTTCCTTTCTCTCTGTATCTGATGTGCTTTCACTGATCTGATTCCAAAGAGAGATTGTATCTCCGTCCGCCTTTACCTCCTCCTGTTTACTGTCATTGGAGTGTGTGAAGGTCTGCTTTGTACTATAAGCACCGGAGAGCTCCTCAATGCTGCAATCTTGACTTTCACTACCTAGTGTTCTTGATAGTGTGTCTATATAGCCACCATGTGTGTTCTTATCAGTGCTCGAGTGGTGTTTGCACCCTGCCGTGTCCTCCAGGATTGTTATCTCTGTGTTATACTGGTGCAAACCCAATGGGAGTGGCAGATTCTCCAGGTGACTTTGTGATTGCATGCTTGAATCTGTAAGTGACACCTTGAGCAGCTCTGAGAAGGGAGGGGCTGGAGTGCATTCTTCAGGCACATGTTCTTGATGGACTGGTATTGCTGGTTTCGGTGTGGAAAGACTGGGAATCTGAGGCTCTGCTTGACCTGTCAACACTCCAGCTCCTCTGCATGCCTCTGTTTCCACTGCGGATGAGATTTGGTCCATGTGCGATTCATTGCTCATCTTTTTGAGCATTGGAGAATCTTCTGAAGCCTTGTGAAGTTTTGTGGCTTCGATGATTTGGTTTAATTCGTTGTCTAGAATGGATATTGCATCATTTCTAGTTGTCGTCCTCTCTGCATTGGATTTATTTTGATTTATTTGATCAATAGATTCCAATCTTTGAGTTGATGCATCTTGAGCATATTCCTCTCGGTCTTCATATGCTCTGGATGTTTTCAGTTGCTCGGTCCCCATGTGCAATTCATCAGTCTTCTTTTCGACCATTGCAACCTTTTCCAAAGCCTTGTGAGGTTTCGTGGCTTCCGTGATTTCTGCATTGGATTCATTCTGATCAACAGACTTCTCAATAAATCTTTGAGTTGATGCATCTTGAAGACATGCTTCTCGGTCTTCATATGTTCTGGATGTTTTCTGTTGTTTCTCAGTCTCTTCATGCAAATCATCCCTCTGCTTTTCGACCATTGCAAACTTTTCCAAAGCCTTGTGAAGTTTTGTGGATACTTTGATTTCTGCGTTGGATTTATCTTGATCAACAGACTTCTCAATAAATCTATGAGCTGATATATCTTTAAGATGCTCCTCATGGTCTTTATATGCTCTGAATGTTTTCTGTTGTTTCTCAGTTTCCATGAGCACGTCATCTTCCTTCTTTTTAACCATTGCAAATTCTTCCGAAACCTTCTGAAGTTTTGTGTCTTCAGTGACGGATGTTGCATCATCTGTAGTGGTCATCCTTTCCGCATTGGTTTCACTCTCACCAATAGACTTCTCAGTAAATCTTTGAGTTGATGCATCTTGGAGATATCCCTCTTGATCTTCATATGCTCTGAATGTTTTCTGTTGTTTCTCCATCTTAGTGTATAATTCATCTCTCTTCTCTTCGACCATTGCAACCTTTTCCAAAGCCTTATGAAGTGTTGTGGCTTCCGTTATTTCTGCATTGGATTTATTCTGATTTATTCGATCAACAGGATCCAAACTTTGAGTTGATGCATGTTGAGGATATTCCTCTTGATCTTCACATGCTCTGAATGTTTTCTGTTGTTTCTCAGTTTCTATGAGCACGTCATCTTCCTTCTTTTTAAGCATTCCACATTCTTCCGAAACCTTCTGAAGTTTTGTGTCTTCAGTGATGGATGCATCTTGAAGACATTTCTCTTGATCTTCACATGCTCTGGATGTTTTCTGTTGTTTCTCAGTCTTTGCCTTTAAGGACTGAGAGCTGAACATCTGGTCTGAAACATCTAAATGAAGGGGAGGATAAGATGTCAAAGACATGCTAGGGATGGTATGGTTTGGAAAACCTGAGGATGCTTTTGCAGAGCTGTCAGTATCAGTTTGGTTATTGTCCTGACCCTCATGGTCTAATATTTCGGTCAGGGTTTCCACATCTGAATCAGGCTCATTGTTAGAGAGAGATCTGTGGGAATGGTCAAAGCTGATGTGGTCTGAGGGACCTGAAAGGTCAAAGGTGACTACTTTGGTTGACTTAATGATAGTGTATGCTCGAGCTGATGGAGATAAAGGTATATTCGACTCATTCTCAGGAAGGACAGGTTGAGCAGGGTTGTGTTTCTCTGAGTCAGTGGCATATGCTAAAGAAGAATAATTATCTGTTGCATGAGATTCCTTTGAAATGGTCACACAACTACTCTCAGGGGGAGTTTCTTCTCGTGAACCTGAATCAGCTGTGGAATGTACAGTAACATCACTTTCAGAAACATTGGTATTGGAGGAAGATGGTTTTCTATCAGTTTTTATTCGGTTTCCTTTTATTCTGGAGGAGCACAGAGTGCTGGACACAATCACATATGGCTTTGAGGACACATGGTCTGATTCACAGATGTCTGTAGTGGGACTGGATGGGTCAGAGTTGATTACATTACTGTCAATGAAAGACTTGTTTCTGACATTTGCAGAGGTGGTATGAGAATCTTCATATGATATGGTGTCAGCTGGATGACTGAAGGAGTCTTCAGGAAGGTTAAAAGCAGAATTTGTGTTTGTGCTGAAACTCTGGGTCATGGTACTGTCTGAGTTGAAACTATCATGCATGGTAGAGGTGGAACTTTGAGGGATGTAAGAAGAGGAACTTTCATGGACTAATGGAGTGGAACTATGGGGAACAGAATTGGTGGAACTCTGAGGGATGGAAGAGATGGATATTTGGGGAACAGAAGAGGAGGAACCCTGAGGGATGGAAGAGGTGGATATTTGAGGAACAGAAGTGGGGGAACTCTGAGGGATGGAAGAGGTGGAAATTTGGGGAACAGAAGAGGAGGAACTCTGAGGGATGGAAGAGGTGGAAATTTGGGGAACAGAAGAGGAGGAACCCTGAGGGATGGAAGAGGTGGACATTTGAGGAACAGAAGTGGGGGAACTCTGATGAATGGAAGAGGTGGAAATTTGGGGAACAGAAGAGGAGGAACTCTGAGGGATGGAAGAGGTGGAAATTTGGGGCACAGAAGTGGAGGTACTCTGTAGGATAGATGAGGTGAATATTTGGGGATCAGAAGAGGAGGAAAACTCGGGGATTAAAGAGGTGGAAATTTGGGGATCAGAAGAGGAGGAACTCTGAGGGACTGAAGATATGAAAATTTGGGGAACAGACACTGAAGAACTGTCAGGGACTGAAGATGTAGAAATTTGAGAAACAGAAGTAGAGGCACTTTGGGGGATAGAAGAGGTGGAAATTTGGGGAACAGAAGTGGAGGTACTCTGTGGGATGGATGAGGTGGATATTTGGGGACCAGAAGAGAAGGAACTCTCAGGAATTGAAGAGGTGGACAATTGTGGATCAGAAGAGGAGGAAACCTGAGGGATGGAAGCAGTGGGATTTTGGGGATCAGAAGAGAATGAACTCTCAGGGATGGAAAAGACAGGACTTTTGGGTATGAACAAAGAGGAACTCTCATGAATGGAAGAGTCTGTGCTCTCAGGTCTGGAGATGTAACTCTCCTGTGTAAGAGATGCTGCATTACTGTATTCTCCGTGTTCCAGGTGTGACCTTTTCTGAGAAACAACATTGTCATGTGAAATACGGGCTGTAGATGTATCAGTACATGCTGCAGTTTTCATATCAGTACCAGGACAGATGTAATACTCTGAAGTCTCAGAAGTGATGGAATTCTGAGCAGATAGTTTTCCATATTGGGTATCGGGTTGAGCTTGGGCATCAGATGAGATGTTTGGGCTATCAGGGGGGGTTTGGTAAGCATCACTATCAGAAGAGTCGATGTATGGTATTGCTTTACTCTCCTGAGCTGTAGGCATGAACCCTGCATCTTCTTCACTGAGTGTAGACTGGTCGCTCAGCACATGCTGGGACTGGGATTGGTCAGAAGCACAGGGAGGTTCTGGTGCAGACCTCACTGCCTCAACACAAGCCTGGATTTGTTCTGTTTCTTTATGGTTGTCAAATTCTTCCTGTTCACTGATGTGATCTTTCACTCCTGAAATGTCACTATTGCTGGTAAGATCCTGAACCCGATCTCTGTTTTGCTTCTTCTTCCTCCCCCAGGTCAGGGATCCAATAAAGCCCTTGGGTTTATGAAGGTCTGTCTCAGAGTAGCTCCGCTTCCCCTTCTAAAATTGAAAAAGAATAAATAAAAGGATATAAGTAACAGATTGAAGAAATAGTTCATGCAAACATTAATATTTTGTCATCATTTGTTTGTTTTAAACTTTTATGAGTTGATTTCTTCTGTTGAACACCAAAGCAGATCTGCTGCACATTGACCATTGACTTCCAGAGTAGGACAAAACAAATACCATGGAAGGCTATGGTAACAGGTTTTCAACTTTCTTTTAAATATCTTTCTTCATTTTCGACCAAATAAAGAAACTTATAAAAGTCTGGAACCACTCGAGGGTGTGTAAATAGTGAGTAAATTAAAATGTTGGGCTGAACTGTCCCTTTAACCAAGCATCAGAATGTTGTTGTTATATTGGTTAAAGACATTAAAACAAGATTCAAGAGATCACACTTAGCTGATGATTGATAATAACGTGTGTTTGGCATGCTGTCCTGGGAGAAAGCCCTGAGCTCAGAATATCCATGAGCCCGGGGCTCCTTCACATTTGGAGGGCAAGAGGAGAGTTTGAGCTCAGGTAGGTCTTGAGAACTCCCCTACTTGTGCTGAGATATATCAGACTAAAGCCCCTTTCACACAGTGATACCGGTAAATATCTGGAAAGACTTTACCGGTATATACAAAAAAGCGCTGTTCACACAGGCGAGGACGTTACGGAAATTTTCCGGAAAAGAGCATTCACACATCCATTCCAAAATACCGGTAAATTCTGACATCGTTCACCACAAATGAGCTTTAAACGGCTGCGCTTGTATTTGTAAACATTTGACTAAATTACACACTCTGTGGATGATCAATATTGTGAACAACTTTCGCAGGATCACTTTCGCATGTCGAGATGTTCATAATATGTGCGTGTGCAGGCGCTCACAGGCTGTTCCACAGGCACACGCAAAGCTTGAAGGTAAACAAACAACGGCTCATCATAAGCATCTCATCGATGATTATTTACACAGTTGGCATTAAGAAGAACATATAAACGTGATCTGACTAACTTCTAGCAGCTAAATGTGTCTGGAAAAATATTCAAAGGCTTTTATTCTCATAAACCGCGCGGACGTAAATGCGTCTGACTGTTGTGATTGGCTAAAGCAGACGTCTCACGTCAGCACGTTCTAGACGTGCACGCGCTTATTACGGGAATCTTCCTTCTGCATTCACACAGCGCAGCATTCCGGCAAATTACCTTTCCGGAACTTCTCTTTCCGGAACTTCTCTTTTCTCTTTTCTCTTACAACTTCTCTTTCCGGAAAATAGCCAGAACGAATTTACCGGTATTTTCAAAAAGGACCTGTTCACACATACAACCTTTCCGGAAAATTGCCGGCAATTTTCCGGAAAGGTCTGTATGTGTGAAAGGGGCTTAAGAGTTGCCTTAGGATGCTATTTTGAAGTGGTCAATTTGCTTTTGGTGTATGTCTTTGGACGATGGGGGGAAACCAGAAAACCCAGTGAAAACTCTCGCAAACACGGAGAGAACAAGAAAACTCCACACAGAAATGCTGACTGGCTTGGAGAGGGCCAAACCAGGAGAGTTATTGCTGTGAGGCAACAGTGCTACCCACTGGGCTGCCTTTCCGGCCTATCAGAGAAGGGGAGGAGCAGGGGTGGATGGGGGGATTCTTCAAGACGAAGACGACTGGAGTAGAAAGCTCTGGTAATTGATAGTGTGTCAGTATTCATCCGATTGGTGCAAATATACGCAGCTAAGGCAGTACCATCTGTGTTTAACCACAAGTATGTGATCCTCTCGAAAATAGTTTATAAATAAACCCACCTTTGCAAAAGACATCAGCTAAAATATAGTTTAACTTAACAACAGTTTACATAAACAAACCTTTTCAATATTTGGAGGTTAGCTAAAGAAACATTTCGTATAACCTCACCTGGCTGATTTGCATTCTCTAGAGACTCCTTTAGGTATGAGAGGTATATATGTGTGTGTGTGTGTGTGTGTGTGTGTGTGTGTGTGTGTGTGTGTTTATAAAGTGTTCATGAAACATCTTCATCTTAGTTTCATAGTTTTATCAAGACTGAAAGTGATTCAGCCACATGGAAACACAATAAACACTTTATTTTTTTACTTCTTAAGACCTCAAAAGTTGTAAATGAAAATAAATGTTAATTCTATAGATTTTTTTCCACATACGAGTAGGCAAAGCCATTGAAAACTTATTGGTGGAGACATACGAGCTCATTTCTATTCTCATGCCTATTGATTTTTAACCATGAAAACAGCTTTTGCTGCTTGATGTTGCATAGTTGTACTTTTTAATATATTTATTTGTGGGCAGCATGTTGGGGCAGTGGGTAGCACTGTCACCTCACAGCTAGAAGGTCGCTGGTTCGAGTCCCGGCTGGGTCAGTTGGTGTTTCTGTGTGGAGTTTGCATGTTCTCCCTGTGTTCCTCCGGTTTCCTGCTATAAGTGAATTGGGTAAGTTGAATTGTCTGTAGTGTAAAGTATGTGTGTACATCCTGGTCCTCCAGGTTGAGCGTTGACCTAATAAACCACCTTATAAAAATTAGATGTTACAAAACACCAATATGGTGCAACTAAATATCAACTTCGATGTAAACATGAGTGTATTTATTTGTATGTATTGTCATGAACACAGTTGATTGTACAGCACGTAGCTTGATCATTTACTGACATTAATTATTCCTGGTAATTTCCAACACATAAGCAAATAAATCAGAAGTTCTAAAACAAAACAGCAGAAATAAAAGCACATGTTGAAGAATCAGGCCAATATTCAAGCTTTCCTATTGACCTTATTCTTCAATGTGGATGTGCGCTCGTTTTTATGATTGTTTTAGAATTTCCGATTCAGTCACCAAGGAAAAATAAACTGCAGAAAACGGCCAAAATACTTGCTTTACAAACAAATGTTTGCATGATTATACAGACAAAATAAAAACATGTAATAAAAAAATCTCAGTTTACAATGTCAAGCAGCGCAATGAGCTGATTTTTACGCCTAAAAATAAATGGAAGTGAATGAAACCGAAAGTCTCGAGCCAAAAAGAGTCAACTGGCTGTGCCTGCTCATACGCAGAGAATAAGGTGAATAGTTTTATCAAGACTGAAAGTAATTCAGCCACTTGGAAACACAATAAACACCTTTTATTTTGGCTTCCTGAGACATCACAAGTATTAAATGAAATGTAATCTAACTTTAAATAGTAAAACTGTATTTTACAGACGCAGCAACAAGATGAAGATCTCCTTATGAAATGTTGTTCTTGGTGAAAGACAGTGAGTGTGTTTCTGAAGTGTGTTCAGTGTTTGATCTGATCATAAATGTCATGCATTATAGAGAAAGGTGTGTCCTCATCTGTCATCCAGGGTGGAGGACTTTTACACGCAGAAATCTCCATATCTGCTGGCCATCAGGTCATAAAACTACACTAATATTTTGAAATGCGCAACACTGTGTCATTTCATCAATAATTACATACATGAATGCAGAACATACCCGCATCTTTGATGACAGTCATCTAAAAACAATCCTGAAAATCCCTCATTAATTATCCATGAAGCATGTCTGTCAGTGTTTATTAATAATGTTTGACCTGCTGGAATTACACTAATGAGCTTTCCACATCACTAATAAAAGCTATCTGCTGTTTCAGTTGTACATGCTTAACTCCTATCATAAATCAGAAGGCACTGGGTGAAACCAAACACACACACACACACACACACACACACACACACACACACACACACACACACACGCACACACACACACATAGACACACACACACGTACAGTGTTAATGAATATTATGACTTCAAAATCAACCAGAAACACTGAACATGTGCGCCACCTGCTGGACAGACTCAAACTAATTACAAACAAAAGCCTGCGTGAACAAATGCTACACAACTATGGTGCGTCTCAATCAGCGCCCTTGTTTGCTAGTTAGTGCACTGATTAGCACTTTCTCAAAATCAAAAGATCTTCAAGTGCACTAAAAAGTGCACTGAAAAGTCCCACAATGCACTGTGAAACACTTACCACTATATGCACCCTTAATGGAAGTTCAGAAGTGTGAAATAGAAATCACACGACCCAAATCATCAAACAAAATGATAAACGAGAGACGTTTTCTAAAGAGTCCATTACTTATTTTAAGATGCACAAGCAGAGCTAGACAGGTTAGGAAAATTCTAGCAAACATTAATAATTATTTAAGGGTCAAAATGCTGCTTTTATATCAAACAATCTAATTATGTAGCTATGTAGTACTTTTAGTAAAACTAACATGGAAATGATTAGTTCTGCTGCTGTTTAGAAATTGCAGTTTTGCTGATGTTCAATATGAACGTTCTCATGTCACAATCAAGTGTGTTTTAATGTGTAGTGAACCAAACTCAAAAAGTGCTAGTTAGGTTTGCTTACTAGTGCATCTAGAGAGCTGATCAATAGTATCTGGATGCAGTCTTTATGATTTAAGCTGAGATTGCATCGCTCAGAGATGCAATGTCAGACACAATGCACTCAATGGAGCTAGTGATGTCACTGTGAGGGGTGGGGTTAGGTGAGCACATTAAAAAGCATTAGATGCAGCTCAGTTTAGGATGTAGCCAGACCCCTCTCGAGCTGATTGAGACGCAGCCTTAGTTTATAGATTCTACCTAAAAAAAATTAACAATGTAAAACATGCATGTACTATTTTATATCTGCTCTGCAAAATGATAGACAATCTACTGTAAATACTAAATCATAAACAAGAAGAGCGCCATCTGCTGATATATTAGGGACTGTTTATGAGTTCACTTTTCTTGCACTATTCTAGCAATGTTTATTATTACATATTTACGTACAGTATTAACTAATTAATTTATATAATATTGATTAGAAAGATTCAAAGAACAACAATTATCTGAATTAAATAGGGCATTATTATTATTATTATTATATTAAACTTATATATTATTTATGGTAAAAATAAATACTTTTATTTAGCAGGGATGCTTAAAATTGATTAAAAGTGATAAAAAAAACAGTATAATGTCACTAAAGTGTTCCATTTTATTAAAATGCAGTTTTTCTGAAACTTCTGAACTACTTTTAAAACAGTAATATTAATAAATGTTTCTGAAACAGCAAATCAGCATTAGAATGATTTCTGAAACATCATGTGACTGAAATAATAATCCTAAAATGTCATTTTAAAATATACTCAAAAAGAAAAGAGTGATTTTTAAACAGTAAAAACAAACATTTATAAAATTCAGTAATTGCAGTAGTTTGCACCAAAATGCAAGCATGGTGAACCAAAGACACTTCTACATAAAGCAGTAAATATCCCGTTTCTACATGCGACCAACAGACCAATTTGCTCCTGAAATGTCAAGCAGCATAATTATATTTAATCAAGCGTGTCCTTCGTCATGCCTGAGCACGTCTTTTGTGCAAAAAAGAGAATGTTAATAATTTCTGGACTCTTGAACATAAGCATGACCTCATCCCCCCTGCTTGATATCTTCATTTAGTACTCGAGGGTGAAATAAACAAATAATTATTCAGAGCTGTAACTATTGAAGTATATTAAAGAATAAGTTGTGATGGTAAATGTAATCATGTTTGAAATCTTGTTGTCAAAAGTGGAAAATGTAAAGTCTTAAAAATATAGACAAAATAAACATTCCTGATGACAATTAAACAGCATTTTGGAGACAAACTATGACCTTTAAATACATAATATAACATGTCAGCAAATGATTATTGATTTATAAACATAAAAACTATATATTATAGTAAAAAAGTAATTACCTTTTGCTCAAAAATGTAAAAAAAAACCACCTGCTAATTAGCATTTTTAAATTTACACACACACACGCACACACACACACACACACACACACACACACACACATATATATATATATATATATATATATATATATATATATATATATATATATATATATATATATATATTTTTTTTTTTTTACATTTGTTCAAGTAGAAATTAAAGGGATAGTTCATCCAAAAATAATAATTGTCATAACTTACTCAGACTTCACTTGTTTCAAACATTTATATGTTTCTTTATTCTCTTAAACACTAAAAAAGATCCTTTGAAGAATGTTGAAAACCGGTAACCATTGACTTTCATTTGTTCCTCCTACTATTCAAGTCAATGGTTACCACTTTTCAGCTTTCTTCAAAATATCTTCTTTTGTGTTCAACTCTTAAAGGTTTAAAACACCAGAGTCAAACTCAGTTTCTAGAGGGCCACAGCTCTGCACAGTTTAGCTTTAACCCTAATTCAACACACCTGATCAAACTAATTGAGTCTTTCAGGCTTGTTTGAAATAAGCATGTTGAAGCAGGTTTGGAACTAAACTGTGCTGGGCTGCGGCCCTCCAGGAGTTTCACACCCCTGATTTAAAACCACTTGAGGGAGAGTAAATAAAATGTACTTAATTTAATTAAGGGAGTACATTTTCATTCCTAAAAGAACTATCCCTTTAAGTAGAAATTAAGCATGGTGAAGTAACTAATGTCTACCAGCAGGGGGAAACAGAGTCACACTAACAAAATGCATAGTTAAATAGAAAGATGCATACATTTTTATGATTACACTTTACACATATATGACTCCCTATTAGCTGTGCAATTGCTCAGAAACACATGCATATTTAGACTTAAATATATACTGCATGGTGTAGCTGCATAAGTTCAGATGTTTACTTGCAGGATCTCTCAGATGTATATAACAAATCATATTTTGGACTGTAAAGAAGGCTTTAAATTATTATTTTTTTAAATGCACTAAACACTAAAATGTGCATTTAAAATTATTTATTAATATACTTTTTTACTCTTTGATAAATCAGTGTTTAAAAACATTAATTAAAAAAGTAGTTATACATTTGTGTATTTATTTATACATTTAAAAATATATTCAAATGTATTGTTTTATTGCTTTATTATATGATATTTAAAAACACAGTTTAACAAAACACATTTAAATATGTCTATTCACTTGTCCATTTAAATTGTGATTTATTTATATTTATTGTAAGGCTTCACTTATTAAATAAATCATTACATATGTTTCCTTTTATTTCTAAATGGCACTCCAGGTCCTCAATATTTGTGCTCTCTTAAAAGTTAGAAGTATAATATCTAATGTCTCATATCTGTATATCTTATGCTTTAAACTGACTTGAAATGCTCATACAGTCTCAGACCCTTAATAAAACACGCAAACCCTTAATAAAAGACCCTTAATTAAAAGACCATTAACGCCTTAAGACCCTTAATAAAAAAACAACACACTTTTTTAAATCTAAGTTTAAGTGTTTTTAAAAGTGGCTCCTGTTCTGTGATGTATTAATTTGTAGATGTGCATATTGCAATATCGATGCATAAGTGACATATTGTGCATCCCTCCTATGTATTTGTTCTTGCTAAATACCATTAAATAATAAGAGAATAAATACGGCACACTCCCACACAGGTACAGGTGTGCATCTCTCTGACCTTTGACCTGCCGAACAGAGCCGTCTTGTGTTTATTCTGCTCTTCTCCATCCTGAATGTCTCCGTCAGCAGATTCAGCTCTGTGGAAAAACACACACACACACACACTCCGTTACAGATCTGCGTTCAGTTTAAAGTGCAGATAGATGCAAACAAAACAGTGGCCTTGAGTTTACTGTGCGACGCCAACGCTGCTGTCAGTCAGAGAAAGATGACAGGAATGTGCAGAATTATATGATACTCCTACAACAGGTTATTCATATTCATAAAAGATACACTGACAGCATACTTTCCGCCTGAAACACACACACACACACTCACACAAACACTCTGTGTGCCTTAAAGAGACAGCTCACACAAAAATGAACATTTTCTGTTTATTTACTTTTTACGCAGCGGATGTCCTTCCAGCTGCAACCCATCTCTGGGAAAGTTTTGGGCGAACTGTCTCTTTAAATGTAACAAGTATATCACGTTATAGTTTTTGAGTTAATAAAACTAATAAAATTAGTGGCAGAAACCAAAAATGAAAAATTACTATCGACTTACACTCAATCGCTTGTAAACTTTTATGAGTTTCTTTATTCTGTTAAACACAAAAGAAGACAATTTGAAGAATGTTAACAAAACATCCACTGACCTTTATAGTACTAAAAACTATAGAAGTCAATATTGTGTCTATAATATCTCTCTCTCTCTGACAGAATTTACAAATTTAGGAGAACTGTCTCTATAAATTTAACAAATATATCAGCTTATCATTTTTGAGCTCATAAAGCCACTAAAATTAGAAGCAAAAACTGTTTAACTCAATCTGGTGCCTCAGAGGGGCAGCTCACCCAGAAATGCAAATTTACATTCTATTTTCTCACACTCAAATGCCTGTATACCTTTATGAGCTTCTTCTGTTAAACACAAAAGAAGATATTTTGAAGAATGTTAGATACCTGTTACTATTGACATCAATAGTAGGAGCTAAAATACCATGGAAGTCAATGGCTGTTTTCTTCCAGCATTCTTCAGAATATTAATAAGAAAAACTGTAACAGTATTTACATTTCGGCTAGACTGCACCTTTAAATGTAATAAATATATCAGGTTATTGTATTTAACTCAAACTCAGTGTGAACTGTTTAACTCAGCGCACCCAAAAATGAAAATTTACTGTTCATTAACTCGCACTCAAGTGGTTGTAAACTTCTATGAGTTTCTTTTTTATGTTGAACACAAAAGAAGATATTCTGAGAAATGTTGGGAAAAAGCATCCATTGACATTAATAGTAGAATCTAAAAATACTATAGAAGTCTGTGACTGTTCTTACCAGAATTGTTCAGTAATGTATATCAACACAAGAATAAATAAATAAATAAATAAAATAAATAAAAATTGACATAATTAGTATTTTTGGATGAATTGCCTTTTTAAATCAAGTATATCACGTTATCATTTTTGAGTTGCCAAAACTAATAAAAGCAGAAGATAGAAGCAGAAACTGTTTAACTCAAAACCTGGTGCCTTAAAGGAACATTTTACCCCAAAAATGAAAATTCACTGTGTATTTACTCAAGTGTTTATAAACGTTTATGACTTTTTTATTCTGTTGAACACAAAATAAGATAATTAGAAGAATGTTAGGAACCTGTAACTATTGACATCAATAGTAGAAATTAAAAATACTATGCAAGTCAATGGGTGTTTTCTTCCAGCATTCTTCAGAATATATTGACTTGTATTCAACAAGAAAACATGACAACGTAATTTACATTTTTGCGTGAACTGCCCCTTTACATTTATCAAGCAGCTCACCCAAAGGTAAAAATGTCCTGTTCATTTACTCACATAAGTGCTTCTAAACCTTTATGAGTTTCTTTCTTCTGTTGAACACAAAAGAAGATATTTCAAAGAATGTTGGAAACTTGTAACTATTTACATCAGTAGTAACTACAAATACCATATGGAAGTCAATGGCTGTTTTTCAGCATTCTTCAGTAATAACAGAAGAAAAAATTAATTGTGATTTTTGGGTGAACTCTCTCTTTAAATTTAACATTTTTGTTAAATCATATCATTTTTGAGTTGCTAAAACTAATAAAACTAGTGGGAAAACAGTTAATTTAAAATATACCTAATATCATAACAAGCATGTTTACGTATTTAATTTAAAAAATATATATTTTGGAACCTGATTGCTAACTTGTAAGCAACAGTGAGCTATTTAATATATTTTATTTTAACATAATAAAATGCAAACATGTTCAAACACATAACACATCTTAGAATGAACTGAATTGACTTAAATTTAAACTACAGGTGGAGTCCAGTGCTGCTTAAAGATCATTTAGACTAAAGGAATGTTATTGAATGGCACTTAAACAACAACACAACACACCACAACAGGTTATTCATATTCATAAAAGATACTGACAGCGGAAACTTGTCGCATACTTTCAGATTGAAGCAAACACACACACACACACACTCATTAACACAAGCACTTCTGGGGTGATAAACGTAATTAGTCGAGTTGTTTAGGAATCTTGTGGAAACTGTATGCCTTAAAGAGAAAAAGCACCCAAAATTGCATTTTTCACTCTCATGCAAATGCTCTAATCGACCAGATCTTCTGAAGAATGCTGGAAAAAGCAGCCACTGACAACCATAGGAGGAACTAAAAATACAAAGGAAGTCAATACCTATGTTTCCATACAAAGATGCTAATTAAATTTATGCATAAAACTGTAATATTGCATAAAACATTTGAGAATAAAGCAGCAATGCAGTAGAAGGAGAAACAAATAAAACCATCTATTACTGCTAAACTGGAGAAAATATATGAAGAAGGAAAATGTAGTTTGGTGCAGCAGGAGAAGCCACTGTGGGCCTTTTAGGTAAAAATAATATAATAATAATATAATGACAAACTTTGGCTGAGGCAAAATAATCTGCCAATGGGGTAGGCAAAATAATCTTACGTCAAAGGAAAAAACAAGATTAGTTTGCTTACCCTATTGGCAGATTATTTTGCTTGTTTTAAGAGAAAACTCACTTAATATTGGCATATTATTTCTCAAAACAAGACAATATGTTTTGCTTGTCTAGAAAATGCTTCTTGATATAAGAAATTTTAGATATTTAGACTAGAAACAAAACAAAACATGTAAGAAAGAAAATCATTTTTTGCAGTGTAACTAAATGTAGAGCAGTCGAGTTCCACAATTGTCTTAAATAAACTCAGCATAAAGACGGTCATTCAGTCATTAAAGCATCAATGCCTCATCAGGCTCACCTACTTAATCAACACAATGGATTTTAAATGCATGTGCAGCTTCACACCTGCTTACGAATAAAGACACAATTCATAACTCAGCTTTGATTCTGCAATCCACAAGTAATGTTTGGGTGGAGCGGTTATTTGCAAAAAAATGCCTCTCATGAAGGAAACAGATGAATAGTTTGAAAGTGAATCACGCATTTCTGTCATTCATATAAAAGAGCAAGTGTTTCTTGAATTACACCACTGACTAATAAACTGAACCTAATCTGCAAGCCACGCAAGAGAGTCCGAAAAAAAAAAAAAATGAAATTAAATAAATGTTGAGTAGACAGCTGAAACCAGAGATGCAGCAGTATCTTGGGTTAATGATATTTATATTGATGATTTTATAATAAAGAGTTAAGCGATTTTTTTTTCATGTTTGTCCCACTTTAATGTTTCAAATCATCAAAACAAATTTAAATATATAAAAAAATAAATAAATGAAGACTTCGGAGTGGCCTACTCAAAGCCCTGACCTGAATTCATTCATTTTCTTGTCGGCTTAGTCCCTTTATTAATCCGGGATCATCACAGCGGAATGAACTGCCAATTTATTCAGCAAGTTTTTACACAGCGGATGCCCTTTCAGTCGCAACCCATCTCTGGGAATGACCCGAGTTTAAATATTTTCAATACACATGTAATAACTTACTTGTATGTGTGTGTATTTATATATACAAATAACAAATATGTACACACAAAATTATTTAAACAAACTTTTATTTGTATGTGATTTTTGATGATTAATGATTTAGCAGCACTATTTTGATTAATACATTTGCGGTTAAAAAACATCTTAGAAAAAAAAACAGAATTATTGATTAAAAAAAACTGATAAATCACTGATTTGTCACATTTTAATGTGTTAGATTATCACACAAATTTTAATATCAAGGAGAAACAAAATAAAGGATTCAGAGTGGCCTGGCCAAAGTCCTGACTTGAATCTAAATGTTTATGTATTCATATACATGTATTTGTGCATTTATAAATACACATGACAAATATACACAGAGAACACATTTTTTATGCAAAATGTAAATAGTAAAAGTTGTACTTTCAAGATTGCAACTTTCTCATGCTGCGTTCACACCAGACGTGGAACGCACATCAAGTGCAAGTGATTTACATGTTAAGTCAATGCAGACGCGCGAATAGACATCCTGTGGCGCGATGCGCGCGAATGGTGCGGCGCGAATGACGTGGTGCGTTAACCAATCAGGAGCTTGCTTTTTTTTTTGACGCGCGAATGAAGCGAGTAAACTCAAATGTTCACTCGGCTATTTATGCGCGAATAGCGAGATTTATCCGCGCGTTTCGCGTCTGGTGTGATCACAGCATCACAATGCTGATAAACAATTTTCTCTCTTCATCTTCATAACGGCATTTAATATTGTGCTTATATAAATGATGAAAATGAATGACCATAAAAAATGTATTTTACAGCACAACTAGGACATTGTGATGATTTTAATAGCTTTATTTGGAAATAATTAATAATTTTAGATTGATTAGAATGATTTTGTAGAGAACTGCATTGGCGTAAAATTTTGTCCATTCAATATACTCACTGGCCACTTTATTAGGTACACCTTACACCGAGTTGGACCCCTTTTGCCTTCAGAACTGCCTTAATCCTTCATGGTGTAGATTCAACAAGCTACTGGAAATATTCCTCAGAGATTTTGCTCCATATTGTCATGATAGCATCACACAGTTGCTGCAGATTTGTCGGCTGCACATCCATGATGCCAATCTCCCTT